AACCAAACGAGATTACACACACTGAACAGGAATCTAATGATAGTAAAGATAGTGAAACTTTATCAAAAGAACAAGTAAAAACACACGATCCCAGTGAAAATAACAATCCACAACAAAACACAAATTCTATACCATCATCAGAACAAAATTTAAAAACGACACAAAAATATCCACAAACACAAAAGTTAACTAAAGAAAGTCAAAATCGGTCAGTTGATAAAATTCCACATAAACATATTACCAAAGCCAATTCGCAGACTAAAGTAAAAACGTCGAAATCTCCGAAAAGAACTACTGCTAAACAAAATCAACGGGTCAAAAAAAAGCTGGGGTCCAGTGATAGTGAAACGCACGAAGATGAAGAAAAGCCAAACAATTTAAGTGATATGGTTGATAACACACAGAGGATAATACAACAAATGAAAAAAGAACTAAATTCCGACATAAACTCGCTCGATAGCAGAAGTAACAGTAGAAGCGAGAATGACTTTAGCTCTAATTCTGAATCATTGTCAGAGAAAGAGTCGTCATATAATGAGAGATCAGAGAGTGAATCGGAAGACATATCTTCTGATGATAGTGAAGGTGTGACATCTAATACAGAAAACAATAATATGGTGAAGACGACAACGGTTACCCGAACGAGTTCTGAAGATAATGAGCAATTTGAAGAGGCTATTGATCATTTAGATATTGAAATTGAGAACTCAATTCCACAAACTGACAATTTAGAAACTCAACATTTAGACTTTCAACAAAGAAACATAGAAATATTAGATTCAATAGCAAAAAGTCTGCAGGAAGAATACTCATCAGTGCAAGACCAACAAATACATATGCCTCGAAATGACCATCAAGATTTTAATAATAACCTTTTCAATACTGTAAATTCTTTTGAAGAAATTTATGAACAACTAACTGAAAGAAATAACTCAACAAACGTTAATACCGAAGAACCTACTAAGTCACTAGAAATTAATAATGCTGCATATTATTCTGTAATACAAAAACCAAATTACAATAAACAAGAAGTGAAATTTGTTACGTTCAATCCACAAATTGCGAATGTATATTTCCTTTCAGAAAACAATATAATGTTACATAATGCAATTATTGAAGACATTAATAACGAAATAGAGATTGAGGTCAATGATTCATTAAATAGCACTGTTGATAATGATTTATTAGACTTAAATGAATATCAATCTGAAGAAAATTCTATGGGACATAACCTACCGAATGAAAAAATTACAATAAACCATAACACAAAAGAACATGAAACTTTGACAGAGGATGTTATAAATTCGAATACATCTGTAGATGATACAAGTACATCTACCCCGTCTATTTCTAAACACATAGAGAAAATTGAGATAAAAGAAGACCATGCAATCGAACGTAATTCAAATATTGTAGAAAAACATGAAACTGTAGATCCAGGCAAAATAGCCGCAACAGATAGTAAGTTCGATGATTCAGAAAACACAACGGTAAATAATACAAACGTACGAAATACAAACCCTAGTAAGGAAAGGACTCAAGTTAAGACCAATTCATCATCAAATAAAGGTATTTTCAATAAATCAAACATACCTAAATTAGTAAAAGCTTTGCAAAATAATAAATTAAAAGTTGAAAAAACGACTCCAAAAGTTTTAGGATCGAAAGTACCAATACGGCGTACGTCAATTAAACACTATCCTGCGCCAGCTCCCCCTAATGGACATTTTGGAAATGTTCAAAATGGAAATGTAAAGCAGCTACAAACTAAATTATTTAATAATAAAGTCCAAAATTCAACAAACATGTCGACTGAGGTAGAAGTTAAGCCATCGACATCAGCAACATCCACTCTTGGAAAGAAAAAGCCAGCTCCGCTCCCACCAACCACTAACCAGATGGAACGCAAACTAGAAACTCCTACGGAAGAAGTGCAGGATAAGGAAAAGGAACATTATTTCCGAGAAACATGTCGCACAGAAGACGAGTGGACGGACAGTGACGCAGAGGAACCTCAAATGCCCATTTCGAAGGAAAACAACGAACCAGAAGCGGTTCCCTTATCACCACCTCCACCCATTACAATGCGCCGTGTGTCAGGTCAACTAGTTGACTTAGCTACGATACGGCTACCCGAAGGTTCACCAGAGGTAATGTAATCAAGAATGGCGTTACGTAAAATTGTTTAACAAGTAAATAACTGCATGTAAAATCTTTTACTTTAATTCTTTTTTCCAGAGACAAGCACGTATGTTACTGGCAGAAGGAGCAACAGAAAATTGGGAACAAGCTCAATTAGCCGTAGAATTAATAAAGAGAGGGATAAATCCTCCATCAGCTCTTCTGGCCGCTTTAGAATGTGTCGATCTAGACTCCGCTCTAGCGTACTTGCAGCAAGATTGTGAATTATGTGCTTCGAGACTTCCTGAATATGAAGTCAGTATTTTTACAACAGCAACTATTTTTAATTTTAACTATTTTTATTGAGTTTTGACTGTATTCGTTTTCAGATGGTGTCAATGTTGCGTTGTACTCACAGATGCTGCAGAGAGTGCGCGCGTCATTACTTCACAGTGCAGATAACAGAGCGTAGCATAGCTGACTGCGTGTGTCCATACTGCAAGGAGCCGGAACTGGAGAACCTGCCTGAAGATGCGTGGCTGGAATATTTCGCTCACTTGGATATATTGTTAAAGACATTACTTAACACTGATATACACGAACTATTTCAGAGAAAGGTAAAGTTTTCCCATCCCTTCCCATAAAGGACAACAATATCCTACTTCTGGCATACTTTCTTGTTTAGGACGATTTTGTGCCCAATTTGATTTGTAACATCAAAAACAATTTTCAGCTGAGGGACAGAACTCTCGCTCGTGATCCAAACTTCAAATGGTGTGTGGAATGTTCTTCTGGGTTCTTTGTACATCCGAAACAAAAGAAATTACGATGTCCAGAGTGCAGATCCGTGAGCTGCGCTTCTTGCAGAAAACCGGTGCAGTATTTAATTTAATTGTTTTGTCGAATAACTTTGATTATATGCACACTACTGTAATAAAAAGTGACAAAAATTTTACAAATTTTTCAGTGGTCTTCAAATCACGAGGGACTAACATGTGAACAGTACACAAAATGGTTGGAGGACAACGACCCCGAAAGGTCGGTGGCGGCTGTGCAGCAACATCTCAAAGAAAACGGGCTCGAGTGTCCGCGGTGTCATTTCAAATATTCACTCTCTAGGTATAATGATCTTTTATATTTTCCGCTTGTAATAACCCAGTGCAAGTAAAAAAAATCACAAAATGTTGATTACATCTCAAATGAAATAATGAGACACACAAAAATAAAAATAACTATCACCAATTTTTGAAAATCTTTGATTAATTGTGACTCATCGGATAATCTGTCTAAATAAAAACATTTTTCAGAGGTGGCTGTATGCACTTCACATGCACGCAATGCAAATACGAATTCTGCTACGGCTGTGGCAAACCGTTCATGATGGGCGCACGCTGTGGGCTCAGCGAGTACTGCGCCAAGCTGGGCCTACACGCCCACCATCCTCGTAACTGCCTTTTCTACTTGCGAGACAAAGAACCTCACGAACTACAAACTCTGCTACAGGTACACGAAAAGAAACTACACTTGACTTTTATCGATTCTTAATCAAAAATCGATTGTGATACAATTTTATCGAAAGTTTTTCTACGCAAAGTACAGATGATACTCATATGTGCCTAATGATTGATCGCAGATGAACAACGTTACTTACGAAACAGAACCTGGTCCGGGCAGCACAGGCCGTTGCCCCGTACAACTGCAGAGAGAAACTCCAACTGGGCTCGTTGATGGTGCTTGCGGAAGCGAATCCTCGCCGAACAATGCCGGACTTTGCAAGTTAGTACAATTTCATAGTTATGCACTGTAAAATACCAATCTACTACAATAACAAACCAATTTAATTATGCATACTACAGACCAAATACTATTATATAAAATTTAGGCGTGTGTGCGAAGAGGATGGAGCGGCGGTGAGCTTCGGATGTGCTTACAGGAATCATTACTTGGAGTATCTGAGCCGGTTGGTGAGAAGCCGGGAAGTTGACCCTCTACCCATCCTCGGTGTGGACGACCTCGAAACTCTGGTCCGGCGCGCGGCGCTGCGTCTTCCGCCGCGGCCCTACGGCACACTAGAGGGCCTCTACAAGAGGGGCCTTATCGAGGTGTGTTTACGCCCGCTTTACTTGCAGGATGCACTACGTGGAGTACCTGGCGGGGCTAGCGCGAGCCCTTGACCCCATCCCAATCATGGACGTGAGCGAATTAGTGGCAGAGTTGCGTCGGCGCGCGCTGCCGCTCCCCGAGCGTGGGCCCTGGGATACGGATCCCATTTACGCAGGAATGTGCGCCGAGGTAATGAATACACGTCAATAGAGCCATGACACTGGACGACGTATAAATGGATTGGTGTTTTGGAAATATGAAAGCAGTGTTACATGTTATACGTCGGGGTAAGGTTAGACGCACAAGTGGGCTCTTGTAAATTGTCACCTTTTATATTCAAATGTGTAGATATATCAGATTTGTCGTTAAAACAAACGCATGTAACATGTATTTGCTATTCGGGAAAATGTTAATATTAATATAATTTCAAGATTGCAACCAATATTTTTGCCGGTGTCAACCAAAGTCATCAAAGGCAGCTAAATGTGTTCATCTATTGTTGTCTAATGTTTTTATGTTATTTAAAATTAACAAATGACCTAGCATATGGATATTCCATAACTCCTCGAGCATAAATAAATATGTTGTATATGTAAACCTTTTCCATTTCCTATTTCATTACTATTTTCCATATATTCTCTTTTTCATTATAGAAAATTCAGCTGAAGTTAACCAATTTACTTGTTGTGCAGATCGTACGAGAGAAGATTCCCCTCGATTAGAAAAATTACACAAGCCTCAAACTCACATACGAATTTGATACTCATGTAAAGAAGTATTATGGACTCCAATAATTGCATTATAAGCAACATTACTTTATAATTATTATAAAGACCCTGTTAACCAGTAACAATAATTAGGAGTGGATTTTTAATATAAGCATTTTGCAGATTTTATTTATTGGTTTAGCAAAGTTACTCATATTTTAAATAAATAAATGTACACTTTACAGAGATTTGTTTTATTTTAAAAATATTCAGGTGACAAGAACTGCTACCTTCTAGCAAAGTGTTCATTCATGTGCTTTCGATCACGCTGAATGTAATGTCTGTTAGAATGAATGCGGCTCTCGAGTGAGTCTGGGAGAGCTTGCGCTTCGCGGCGTGAAGACCGAGGAATATTCGACCTCTTTTCTGAATCCTCTTTTTCTGCCAACTGTTCAGCCACGCGCCGGCCGCGCTGTATCTCGCGCTCTGCCCCAGCAGCGGCCATTTCCGCTAATTTTGCGGCCTTTTCCTCTTCACTCATACCTACCCGCCCTTTCCCTCTACTATCTTGTTTTTCCCTTTGTTCCCTATCATTATATTTATGAGATGATGTACTTCCTTTGGTACTCCTTTTGTAACCTTCGTCACTTGTGTCACGACGTTTCTCTCGTGTATATTTACTATCTGTGGTCATATCTTGTCTGTGTTTCTTTATTTTCTCTTGTTCATAATCATCTTTATGTTCTGACTTCCGCTTACGTTGCGGTTCTTCTAATTTACAATCTTTATCTTGTTTTCTTGCATGTCTCGAGTCGTTTTTACTTTCCATTTTCTCTTTTTCAGATTCATCAGAATCAGAATTCTTTTTATTTTTGTGTTGCTTTTTACTTTTCTTCTTCTTCTTCTTTTTCTTGTCTTTTTTCTTTTTGTGCTTGCTTTGATCTGAGGATGAATCGGAGGAAGAATCATCATCTGAAGCAAGTAAAGTTTTTAAATCAACCCCCTTTTTTGCCCCTAATGCATTTAATTTTGCTGCTAAAATATTATCTAGGTCATTGTGTTTTTTCTTGGTTTTCTTTTCATCCTTTTTCATCTTTGACTGATCCTAAAACATAATAAACATAATTTTTATTCACTAGGGGATGCCCGCCACTTCGAGTCAATAAAACAATAGCCTAGGTTAAACATACATCAGCTGCTATGTATTGTACAATGAATAATTAAAATCAGTATGAATAAGAATGTTTGAACTCAAATATGATCACAATTACTTACTTGTTCTTTTCTTAATAACTCTGTAAGGCGACGTCGCTGGAGTGGGTTGTTCAAAAGTGCTGCCCTCGCAGCTCGCTCTCTTTCTTTTATCAATAACAATGGATCTTCTCTAAGTTTCCGAACTAGATCGACTTGTGTATCACTTGACATGGCCGTCATGCTGGAGCCAACAACTCTTCGAGCCACCGCTGGTATAACATCTTGGTTATCTTTAGCGGTCTGATCATGATTAGTGTCAATTGATTTGCCGAGCAGATAGTCTTCTTGTTGTACTTTTTTATCAGGTTTCTAAAAAAATATTAAAACATTTTAATATTAGTTCTAGTGTTTTAAAAATTCATAACTTCAGTTATGTAAAAATTAGTACAGTATGATCCTAAAGTGCCCAGAATTAATTTTACAGTTTTCATGACTAAAAATATTTTCTGTTTTGTACAATTATATAGTTAATGGATCTTTTATACTAACTGGCTTTTGCTCGCAACACCATCCACATGAAATTAAAACAAAACTCTATATGTCACATCCCACAGCTACCTTCCCACCAATTTTCAGGCAAATTGGTACAGTTTTTGCAGTATAATTACGAGTAGGGCCAATTTAATAGATCACATTTGACATCCACCACTTTAAGTTTCATAGTGAAGCATGTCATGCTTAAAACATCAAACATGGATGACTATATCAATATAGATTATAAATAATTGTAAATTAAAGTAGTTAATTCATACAAACAAGATAATTTTGAGAGAACAATAGGTACACACATCATACATCCAATGTAAACGATTGTCGTTAGGCGAGCTGCCCCCTGCAGCAGTACGTTTAGCTATTTCGTTCAACTGCTCTCTGTCCCTTTCTTCAGCGCGTTCCCGCTGCAGTTCTGATATCCGTTTCTTTTCTTGTGCCGCCGCTTGCTCAGCTTTCCAAACACGCTCTTGGTTTTTATAATTACTAGGGTGCCAAGCTTTCTTTGTATTCTGCCAATGAAAACAAAATATATATTATACTGAAGAATAAGATAAGTTACACTGAAGAAAATCAATAAAAACAGGAACAGTAAATAATTTTACCAAATCTCCGCCACCCATGATTGTGCGTTTACTGTAAATTGACAAAACCTATATAAAATTTCGATAAATATGTCTGATTTTAAAATAGCACAAACAAATAACAGACGCTCAATAATTAAAAATGTTTAATCAAACACAAACAACTTTTGTAACCTATTTAATATGAGTTGACACTTGACGTTTGACAGTTGCCGTGACGTCTGCGTTAAAAAGTTAACACCAAGTTGACACTTTAAATTTTTCCCTTCAAAGACAATTGTTAACTTAATGGTATTTAGTTGGTGTTTAGTGTTCGATGTAAAAAGTGTAAAATAAAATGTTACATAAACCGACAAGGCTATCTGTACCTGCGGGCATAAGTCAAACTAAATTATAAATATATAAATTATAATTAAATAAATTACGAAAGCTCTCTAACGCCCTCTGTCAATGTCAAAAAATGTCACAAAGTCCTCTTTGTAGATCTCCTTTTTATATACTGTAGCTGATAGCTGTCATGTATTTTTTTCTTTAATGTCATTTTCTACATCTAAGTATGTAGTAGGTTTTATATAAATTCTGACAGAGCTAACCGCGATAGCAGCGCCTCTCTCACACATTTAGATATCCTTATTTGACTTGATTATAGTTTGCAGAACAAACGTTGCAATAACTAACATCCAGTGCCCCCAGAAACACAATTATATCGTAATTTTATCATATTTGGCAACTGCCTATATCTTATCTCGCTAATATAAAAAATGCGAATATTTGGATAGGATGGATGGACACATGTTTGTTTGAAGGTATGTCCAGAACGGCTGAATGGATCCTTCTGAAAATTGAATAAATGTAGAACATTGTCTGGAAGAACACATAAGCTATTAAGTTTTTTAATACCGCGGACGGAGGTGATAGATAAAGGTCACATCGTTTTTTTCTTTACTTGGATAACTTTAAATTAAAATAATTTTATTCTCTTGTAAAATTTTAATTTGGCGGACGGTTTTGCCGTATTATAATTCTTTCTAAGTATAATACATAAGTATCAATCTTTAAGAAGTAGTTGTTGTAATAATGAAAAAGCAACTTATGTTATTAACTATACGTTCTTTATTTAAAGGCCCAGGACTTAGGTCTTAATCTATTACCTACAATATATTTTGTGTTACAGTAAGAAGCGAGGTCGGTCATTCAACCGTCTTGACTCCATTTCGTCTTCCCCGACTAGACTGGCGTGCCGCCTTGACTGCCGGGTCAACGACTCCACTCTTACTTACATAATTTCTTTTAACATAAATAGATTATGTACTACACGAACCTTTAGGGCTAGTACTGCTGCGGAATAATCACTAATTAATTATATAAAAAACTTGCTGTCGCCCGCGACTCCATCCGCGCGTAATTAAAAAGAAACATAATTAGTAGCATATGAGTTCTTCCAGCCTATGCTCTATATGTATGCCAAATTTCATAGAGATCCGTTCAGACGTTCTGGAGATAATTTCTAACAAACAACCCTGCAACCAACTAAACATTCGTATTTATAATATTAGCAAGATATAATATGACAAGTCATGAAATAGGTTATCAGAACGACAGTCAACGTATTTTAATACATCCGTATAAATAACATGTTAAAATACTATAATAAATACTTACATTAGATGTTCAAGGAAACAATTTGTTGGATAGGCTTCTATATATCTTATTCCTGCACAATCTAACTCTAAGGTAATTTCCCCTTGGCTCGAGCCTACTTTAAGTTAGGGATGACTAGAAATCTTACTTCATCCTGAATATTATAAATACAAAAGGTCGAATAGTTGTTTGTATCCTGGAAGTTCCACATCATGTACGGATCTGGATGCTGTTTATAACATGTATAGAATTGTCTTAAATTGCATATAGTCTTCTTTTTATCTCGAAAAAATTAAGTTACGGTTTCCGTTTGATAAGATTTTTATTTTGTCAAATAGGTAATGAAGACTTTATTAATTCCACATGCACTAAATCGCGGGCAGCTAGTAAATTCATGTTTTATTATAAGATTAGTAAACATATCTAAATATGTACCATTTCAGTGCCACAGTTAGCGTTACAAATACAAATACTTCTAAAATTTTTGTAGGTTACCTACCTAACTATATGACACGTGTTCGGAGCTACTTAATATATAATACTAAAAAAAACTCGTCAAGAAACTTGCATGAAAACCTTGACACCACGATAATTGTGGCATATTATTATTCCTGTAGAAGACGCCACGTGTAAAAAATGACCATGTAGTTTTAAGTAAAAAGTTTTATTTTTCTCATTTCTATCTTCCTAGTTTAATAATATTAATATAACCTACAAATATAATTATTTTACATATAACAATCATAATAAATTAGTTTTATACAATACCAAAAATAAATAAATGTTTTTTTTTTAATTTTTATTTTTACTCAACTGTAAGTTAGTGATTAATCAAGTATGGTTACTGGTATAATAAAAGAATTTAGTTGTGCATTATAATTATTGTCAAAGTAAAATACAGGACAACGATGCGCGTTGCGCGTTGAGTCGGCGCACGGCTACACGAGTGAGGCGGTGGGGGTCAGTTGCGGTCGCGTTGAGGAAGGTTGAATCGGGCGCACGCGCCGGCGGCCTCGGCACCGCGGTTCCGAACGTTCGCTGACCGAGCCGCGCGTGTCGCCGCCTCGCCCGCACTTCGCCCCGCCGCCGCCGCGCTCCAACCCTCCTCCGCTACCGCTCCTCCCCCCGTTATACAAAGCACCCTGCACCCTACGGCGACGCCCATTTAAACTTTCATATTCTCATTTCCTTACCTTACTTAATACTCCATTGTCACTTTATTTAGTATAATATAAATGTATAAAATTTTACTTACAATTACATATACAATTTAGTTTGCATCACTATTGCACAAAAGCTACAGAACTAATAAGTAGGTAATTAATTAAAAAAAGTTCGATACAGACGTGTAATGTATTCTTCTCACAAATGTAGTACATAAAACTATACTTTCATTTCCGTAAAAACCCTAACCTTCAGACAGTACAGCAAATATATCATCAATCGGACAATTCCCTAATCAGATGTTCCAGGTGTAGCTGGATGGATGGAGGAGTATAATCTGCTGAGACTCTAAATCTGTGACTGGATAGAGAAGGCGCGACATCAAGGATGGTGGAAACGTGTAATGTCGGAGGGCAATGCCTATTATTTGATAGTTTGGTAAAAATATATATGTCAAAATAAATACTGTTTACAAAAAATAGTGCTTACTAAAAAGGTATATACTTATTTATGACACTAAAAGACCTTGTTCTGATACATTCTACCTAACGGGCACGTGTAACATATAAAAAGAGCGTTAACCATTTTCTTTTTATTTAAATTAATATAGGTACAAATATAACTTTAAAAATCATGTAAATTTTGCTAATAATAAAACAACTTTCCGGTTTCTAATAAATTATTAATAATAAATTAAGCTTTTTGTCATTATAGTTTTAAAGTAATGTTTTTATTGTAAATCTGTATATCGTTTGAATTCCTATTAATTTATAGTAATGGAACAAACTTAAATTCGTTTGTTTATTTCACTTTATGATAAACCTACTCAACCCTACTTGAGCATCCTTTTATTGTCTTATTAAATAAGTTTATACTTACCAAGTTAAAGATATGCATTAATATCTAAATATACTGTTTCTTCTGAAGCTCCTTCTTTTTAATCGATTGAAAAAGAGAATATGTTATGTTTGTCGCGCGTATGTATATAAATTCCTTTGTGAAGGCCCAAAGCGTAAACGACTGAATGTATTTTGACGAGTGACGTATCATTCGATTTGTAATCTTTCCCGCAGCATCATGGGCAATATTACATCGCCAGGAAACAATATTAATTTAAAAATGAGCTCTTATCTCACGCTCTATAACTATTTTTTGACTCACTAAATCATTGTTTTATAAATATCGTATTATAAAACAAAAAAGCGTTTAAAAAAATTGTTTATTTAATTAAGAATAAAAAAATTAAAATCTCATAGTTTTGTTTCCAAAAGCAAACGGAGTCACTCAAGGACTTTGAATGTTGCATTCAGTATATTCTAGAAATTACATACAGCAAATTAACTACTGATTGAACGTATGTCACTAGGATATTCAATAATCATACAACTAAACACAGCAAAGACGTAGTACCGAAATTCCAATATTGCACCTATGTAATTAATTTAATTATGTATTTAATTTTCAATTTGTATAAATATCAGACTTCGTATCAAGCCTCCTGTTTTCATGTTTTTTGGCGCCACTCTAATCTTATACTTATGTACTGCTTGCTAACCGGTGTGGATTAAAACCAATTGAAAACGCAATAACTCGAACCACAGCTCCTATTATACGAAAAACATTCTAAATTATATTCCACAAGCCTCCTATGACAATAGAATTATCTCGGCGGTTACGTAATATAGGGCTGCCACTCTTTGAATTTGACCTAAACTCTATAATAGGCTTGCAATACATTGGGATAAGGTTTTAACATCGATTTCGTAGAGTCTTGGGGACAACAAAGCGTTTGTTTTTCATCGTCCTGTAAGGGTGAAAGGTCACCGTATCTATTTTTTTTCGCAGATTTCGTTAGTATCCGGGCCTACGTTTATTAAAAGCTTCAGTCACATTCCAAATACGTGTTAAACGTATATATTTTTTTTTCAATATAAATCTTAATCTATTTGACTCTTAATTTATTTATTACCACCACCTATGATTTATTTGCGACAAGTTTTCTTGGTGCGATGAGTAGAACAACTAATAGATAAAATCTTCAAATGTTTCTCATTGTCGATTTTTTTTTAATTTGATATTTCTAACAGAATTTAACATTTATGTAGGTCGATTATCAATACAAATTACTTCCAGTAGGTATACTAAGATGGTTAATGTTTCTTTTTAATCTAAAAGTCGAGGTTTGAATTTTTATCTTTATCATTTAGTACTACAATTCTGTTACATCGTTATCAGCAGTTACGGGGAACGTTATGCAATTTAGTTATATAAAACCCGATTATATTTTATCGATTTTTGTGCAAAAATATACAAATACCTAATATTTATTTAAGTCGCTTTTATACTTACCATCCACAACTTTTTTTAAAGCGCTCTTAATTTCTTTTTATTGTTGTAACAATGT